ACAAAAAAAAAAAAAATGATGTAAGTTAAAGGAGAGAAGAAAGAAAAAAGACAAAAAAAAAAAAAAAAAAAAAAAAAAAAAAAAAAAGGGGGGGGGGGGGGGGGAGATCGGGCTTTTACAGTGACTAGATTCTTGAAAAAACCTGCAACATAATATTCGTACTGCAGGACTTTTTTATGTTGGCTTTAATTCACGCTTACTATGGTCAATAAAACAGTTATTGGCTATAATAGCAGTGTAGCCAGGTGCCAAGTCAGCGTCTCTATAAAGTTTACCAGCAGACAAAAGAATAAATTGGTTCACTTGCTGTGGCAACTTCTTTCTGGATGCCAGGAAATATGTATTCAGTGTCTCTACACTCTAACTCCAGACCCTAAACTCCACTACTGTCCAAAAATGTCTTTGAGCCACTAATTATATCATATCAATTATATTATATATGGCATTATTCAACCTTGATCAGCTAAATGCATTTTAGATTGGTTCTGGTTCAAGAGCACCTTAATATAAAGAATGTATAAGTTTATGATCTATGATTCTCGAACCTCTCCCTAAAACATTTGACTGGGCTTTGCTTAGTTTAAAAACAAAAAACCCTTAAGGCTGTGGTTAATTCTATTACTTGGACGCATTTATTCCATACTTTTTCCATCCACTAAGCATTCCCGTTATAAAGCCAGCTTCTTTAGAAATGAGCTCAAGTACCGACTTTGGATTTTCCTTACCTATGAGCCATTATAATCAAATTCTCACTTTAAATACATCACTATGCATGTAGTGGATCTATCGCTATGCTATACAAGCTTCACTTGTTGAAATCATTTTTGTAATTTTAATTTGTAATAAATCTTTTTTTTTTAAAGTTAATTCAGTGAAAAAAATAGTTAATATCTCAAAGATTTATAAAATACTTGCTACATTTCAAGCACTTTTATATTAATTGTGATTGTTATAACTTGAAACAAACAAAAAAAAAAACATAAAATCACAGGGAAGACTTCTAACTTGACAGCTGCAGCAGCTACTGAAACCTTCCATGAGAAGGGTGAAACACAAAAAGATTACTGCTGAAGAAGCTGGCTGTTCACAAAGTGTTGATTGCCAGTATCCTAATGGGAAGTTTAGTGGAAGGCAAAAGTGTGGCAGGAAAAGGTCAACAGGCCCTAATGGAACACTGGAGGATTTTGAAGCCAGGCCCATTAATGTACAGTATATTTTTCATTGGTTCTTTAAAATATTGTAATATGTTTTCATTAAATGTAATCCAAAGTCATCAAAATGAACAAAAATAAAATTTCTGTGTAAAGAATCTATAGGAGATGTGTTTTTTGTGTTTGTTTGTTTTTCTTTTAATTGTTGAACTGTTAACTTTTCAGTGCTAGTGTTGGTGAGATTTCAAAGATGTGCATCCAAATTTATGACATAAAAACTTTCCCTGGATGGATCTTTAGGCTTTTCTATATCGATTTCTTCCTTTTATAAGCCCCCCCCCCCCCCCCCCCCCCCCCCCCCCCCCCCTCACCTCT